AGAGAAAGAAAAAGGGATTGTATTGTCTGTTCTGACAAAGAAGCACCAGGAGAAAGGCGGCAAGCAACATTTTATTGTATAACATGTCAAAATCAACCAGCTATGTATTTTGGAAATTGTTTTGAACGTCACCATTCTTTAAAAATGTTCAAAAATAAATTAATATTATAAATGTATGTCCTTCAATGACCACAAATTTTTATCAAACAAATGGCATAACATACACAATGAAATCAAGTTTACTGCCGGTACAGTAGATTGTTTTGAAATCGGTGCCGTCCCGTAAGTGTTAAACATATTTTAACTAGAACATTTGAACCGAAAAAATATGTATAAAATGTTTAGCTCACCAACACCCCCCACCCCTTCCCCTACACTCTCGCACACATTTTAATCCGTCCCATGCAAAAAATAATTGCATAGATTTAACCATAGTGACAAAGTTTAGTAAAGTAATTCAAGTGTATTTCAAGATTGTAAATTATTCTGATAACTCAAGTAATATAAAAGTATCAGGAGTAAAGAGTTTGCCATCGTCGTCTTTCATTTGTCTAAGTTTTTCGATGATTAAGCATCATCATCTTGGTATATATTTTCTCGTCTCTCTCTCGGTGTGCTTGATGCAATCGGATGCATGTTTGTGCATGTATGTATATTACAGTAGTATCTATCTCGAACAGGTGAACAGGTGAACGCATTCGTTCGTTCGTTCGTTCGTTCTTTGGTTCTTTGGTCGTTTTGTTGGTTTGAAATTGCGAGTGTGCGCAAGTGAACGACGGACGACGTTGCGTCCGGAATGCTGCCTAGACCGCTACCTCTACTCTAGCTAAGGCTACGATCTTTCGCAATTACGACCAATTACACATTAATATTTATGAAATAACATGCAACTACATACATACATTAATAGATACATACATACATACTTACATACATACATACATACATACATACATACATACATACTTACGGTGCAACATACATACGTGCATACATGTATAGACATGATGAAGTAGATTGCAAACGCAAAATTATTAACTTCCCGAAGGAGAAGTTTATGTTTTCATAAAAAAATCCGATTCGCTGATTTTATGTTTTCTCGACGTTTCAAGCCATTCTGAATCGAATGAGACCAAATTTGGAAAAGGTATGCGTGTGTGTGTATGTGTGTGTGTGCGTGAGTATGAGCAGATTTTTTGCCGAAAATCGACGTTTTCTCAAAAATAGCTGGGCCGATTTCAAAAATTTAAAAGCCATTAGATGTATCTCGATGAGAACTATTGTTTGTCAATTTTGTGCGACGATCGGACAAGCTTTTCTTCTTTATAAATCGCAGAAATGTGAAAAAATTTTCGTCCACGTTTTAGCCCGCAATTCTGAATCGATTATGAAAATTCAAAAACCGTTCGAAAGATATTGGTTGGGGATCGTGCTGATTAGTTTTTGGTAAAGATCGGCCGGGCCGTTTTCTTGTAATAAAGTGTTGAAAAAAATTTCTTCGACGATTTTTATTATTTTTTTTTTTGACGGTATATACAACAGTCTTCTAGATCATACTAAAATATTATGGCCCTACGACAACTGGTTTAGCTTTAAAAATTCGTCAAAGTTTGCAAAAATTAGTATGATCTTTTTGGCATTTGTCAAAATTAGAACTTTCATCGACGTTTGCTCAAACCTGAACCGATTTCAGATATTTAAAAGCATTTAATGTATCTCGATGAGGATTTTCGTTTCTCAGTTTTGTGGAACGATCGGCCGAGCCGTTTCTTTGTAATTTGGAAAAAAGTGTTAAACCTTTCGTCCACATTTAAGTTCATTCTACCGAACCGATTTTAACAAATCAAAAACTGTTCAAAAGATATTAATTGGGAACACTGATTAGTTTGATTGGGAACTGATTAGTTTTAGGTGAAAATCTACCGAGCCGTTTTCTTGTAATTAACTGTTGAAAAAGAATTGGAGCCGATTTTTATGGAACTTTTTTTGTCGATGTATATCATGGTCTTATAGAACTTACTGAAATATTACGGCCTTATGACAAGTAGTTTAATTTTAAAAATTCAAAGTTTGAGAAAATGAGTAGTTTTTTTGACGTTTGTTAAAAATAAATTAGATGATTTAGTTGGTATAACGATAGTGTACTTGGTCTTGAACATAGTAAACCATTAAACCTATGGAAACTGGTTCAATTATTATTGATTAATTAAAATTATTGATTTTTAAAATTTGCTTTTAGAAAATACTCCGAGTTAACGTGTTCGTTCGTTCGTTTGCAATAATGTGTAATAAATCCACTCGAAATACTTTTAATCACCCATAAATTAATTTATCTTTTTGATTAAGTCGATTATTTACACATATCGGGAAGTCCATGTAACTTGCCTCAAGGCTAAATACCATACTAACTAGTTTTTTATTCAATTTGATGTGCATATGTCTGACGGCCAAATATGGGTTTTTTACTTTTTCTTCTGTACCTCCGAAACCGCTGGACCTGTCTTCCCAAAAATTTCATCAATTCTTCATTTTATCAATACAAATAAAATGTTTTTTGAATCCTTTAAATCGGACGCTACGTTATCTCAAAAACTGAATGAACATTCTTGTCTCTTTTTGCCACGTATCTCCGAAACGAGTAGACTTGCCTTTGCCAAAAACTAATCAGCACATCTCCTTATCAATAAGAATCGAATGTTTTTTGAATCATTCAAATCGGTTGAACCGTGTTACCGAAATCTTTGACGAAAGATTGTATCCGCACACACACATACATACATTTTTTGCTAAAGTATAAAAATAATAATATATATCGGAGTTAATTCAGTAAAAATTGTTTATAAGTATATTTGATTTTTTTACTCTTCTTGCCCCGTATTACGAAACGGCTGC